GTCACTTGCTTCCGGTCAGTTGGTCAGTCGGTCAGTCGACACACACGCATCGGCCGAGACCCCATGTGTTCTGTGCAGGGCCCTGGGGAAACCGAGGAGAATCAGAGCTGGTCCCTGGCCTCAGGGGTCTCATAGTCTGGGAGAGCAAAGAACATGTCAAGTGGAGAAGCTGTGGAAGCCAGAGCAGCCGTTCAGCCCCATCTGGGTGGGGTATCTGGGAGGGCTTCCCGGAGGTGGCAGATGATGACTGATCTGAGTCCTGACTCTACCAGGGAGGGGCAGGGAGTGGGCAGGTACGTGTGGAGGAGAGCAGTGAGGACAGCCGGGTGCGCGGCTGGGCACCCTCGGGAGATGGAGGCGGCTTCTTGGGGAAGCCTGGAGCCCAAAGGGGCAGAGAAAGGTGCTGGGGCAGGCTGAGGGACTCCTGTGCCAAGGCCTGGGGAGGGCTTCGTGAGGGGAAGCAACAGCCAGCCAGCTCCCTGTTTTAGGAAGCCCACACTGGTGGGGTGCGGATGGGACAGGAGGGGAAGAACCAGAGGCTGGGGACCAGGGAAGGGGATGAACAAGGACAAGCAGCTGCAGCTGGGAGCCGGGCTCAGTGCGGAGGAAGAGTTAGGTGCTACCCACTGGCCAGGCTGGACTCCCCCTAGGCCGCCCGCCGTCCAGATGGTGCAAGGCGAGCTGTTGGGAGCTCCTTAACAGGACACTCTTCGAGAGGATTTTTTGCACTGAAGGGTCTGGCCTTGTACCTGGCAACACATCCTGCCCTGAGAGAAAGGAAGTCTCAGGAAGCCCTGAAAAGCGACAGGTGGGAACCGGCCAACACGGAAGGAAGAGGTCTGGATTCTCACGGGCCTTGGAATTGGGGTTTGGACCAAGTTTAGCCAGACCTCCTGGGGAGGGTAGGGGAAGGGGCATCCAGCTGACTTCTAATAACCACAAAATAATAGCTGCTGTTTTTTAATTACCCACTGTATTCCGGGCCCTGGGCCCTGCATTTTCCTGTTGTTTCGGCGAATCCGTAACGATAACCACCGCCACTGTGAGAGCCCTAGGCAGCATTTGTGTTGGGCTGCGAGGCCCTGGCCCCCTGCTCAGCCTTTTATACGTATCAGCTCATCTCGGATTGTCACACAGTTCTGTGAGGTATGCACTACTATCCCTAACCTGCAGGTGAGGAAACCGAGGCACAGAAAAGTTATAGAACTTGCCAGACGGGGCAGTGCTAGGAGTAAGGAGGCGATGGCGCCTGGCTGCCGATGGATGGGGGTGGATGGAGGCCCGGACTGAGATCTCACTCCTGCCTCCCGCAGGCCTGCGCCGGCTTAGGGAGGCACGTCCAGGCTCGGAGCAGGGGCAGTTGGGAGAAGAGGGAGGATGGGAGTGGGGAGGGGGGTCTGCATCAGTAGCGCTTCCTGAGGGGGGGGCCACTGTGGGGTGACACTGTCCCGCTGGAGCAGCGGCAGGTCCTTGGGGCTGAGTGTGGCTGGGGGTCTCTGGGCCCTGAATGGGGTGGGGGCTGGGTGACTGGAGCTCCATAAAGGCAGGCAGAGTCTGACTCATTGGTGTCAAGCAAGTGACAAAACTCTGTCCTCCCCGACAGCACCCCGTACCCCACACAGCTGCCTACCTCCTGTGGCCCGACAAAAATCAGTGGCCTCTTCGTGGACCTTTACGTCCAGCCCCCGTTGGCCACTCCCTTCTGGAAGCATTCGCGCGCTCCGGCTGCTGTGGACCTACCCTCTGCTCCTCCGGGAGTCCTGTCCTCCGCTCTGCCCCCCTGCTACATCCCACCCCCTCGGCCAGCCCACAGCCTTCACTAGCCTCCATACGCGGAGGATACCCACACCCCCGTCTTCACCCAGACCTCTGTCCTGAGCCAGGGCACTGCCCGCCTAAAACGCCCCCGTGGCTCCCCACTGGGTTAAGAATGAAGTTAGAGCTTGGACCCATGTTCCCCACTGTCCTTACAGATCAGATTATAGCTCCGGCCTTCCGTCTGGGTTCATTTCGGATCCCTCTATGCATCCCTCTAGCCAAACCCACCTGCCCTGTGCCTGAATGGGCTTCACTTTCCTAAGTGCCTTTGAACATGATGTTCCCCCGACCTGGAATACGCTCTCTGCTCTGCTAGCCTAGCTAGTTCCTGCTCAGCTCCAGCACCCCCTCCTCTAAGAAGCCTCCCCTGACCTCTCAGGCCAGGTCTGCCGCATCCTCTGTGCGAACTGCGGCTCCCTGTAACTAACCGAAGAACAGCAGATAGGAGGGAAGACAAAGCCTTGACAGTGGCCTTGAGACTGAGGCTGCTCAGGTCTGGAGTTCCTGAGAAAGGTCTGAGCTGGAGACAGACAAAAGCCAAGGATGAGCCATCAAGGTTGTCACAGGAGAACAGGTAGAAGGCGGCACAACTGGGGACAGAGCCCGGGGACCTCCACAATTACAGGGCTGCGTGGAAGAAGAACAGAACTCTGAGGAGACGGAGAAGTAGGAGCTGGAGAGGGAGGGGGAGAAGCAGGAGTGGGGAAGAAAGATGGCACCCAAGGAACCACTTCCAGCATTCATGCCCTGGTGCTGGCCTCTCCCCTGGAATCTGGGCTAGCCCTGTGACTTTTTTTTTTTGAGAGAGAGAGAGAGAGAGAAAGAGAGCACAAGCAGGGGGAACGGCAGAGGGAGAGGGAGAAGCAGACTCCCCACTGAGCAGGACCCCGGGATCTGGCCTGAGCCGAAGGCAGACGCTTAACTGACTCAGCCACCCAGGCGCCCCCCTGTGACTTGTCTTTGGCTAATGTGATAGAATGTGGTAGACGTGATACCACAACACTTCCAAGCCTCAGTCATAAGAAGTTTGTAGACTGCACCTGGTCTCTTGAAACTCTCTCTTAGGGAAGTCAACTAGCATGTAAGTCAGACTACAGACTGCCCTGAGGCCGCCATGCTGTGGGGAAGCCCAAGCTAGGCACGTGAGGTGGCCACGTGGAGAAAGAGAGAGAGCTGTCCAGTGCCCCCCTCCCCCCACCAGCTTTCACAGCCACCCAGCTGAGGCCGCAGACCTATGAGTGAAGAGGCCATCTTGGATGTCCAACCCAACGGAGCCTTCAGATGACTCCGGTCCAGCCACCACTTGAGAGCAACTGCAAAAAGGGCACCGTGAGAACTGCCCAGTCGAGCCCAGGCCATCCACAGGACCATGAGTGATCATAAAAAAGCTTGTTCTAAGCCATGAGGTCTGTGGTAATTGGTTAAACCACAATAGATCATTGAAACAGTTGGTAATTTGTACCTGAACAGCCCTCCGGGATAGACATTATTGTCCCCATTTAACAGATGGGGGAAATAAAGCCCGGAGAGGGATGTGACTCAGTGAGGTTCACGTAGCCAGCTGGAGGCAGCAGTTGGGGTTCGAACCCGGGCAGGTTTGTCTGGTACCTCAGCCTCTGCTCTTTCCACAGCACATGCCTGGCTGCCTGAGACCACACCTTGCAGCCCCATCACATGGTTTGGTCCAAATTCCCTGTGTGACAGGCCACTGGGTTTTCCCCAGAGCAGCTCACCCGGGCACCCGCTGGAACCCCAGCTTTTCCACCGCAGACATGATTCACGCACAGATTGTTAAGTGTACAGCAGGGGACATTTTAACTGCGTATACACCCCTGTGACCACTACCCAGATCAAGATCTAGAACATTCCCAGCACCCCAGAAACTTCCCCTGTGCTCACTGCTAGCCCGTGTCCGCCCCTGCCCCGGCCCAGAGGTCCCCACTGTTGTGATGCCCACCCCCACAGTGACAGATTGGTCTGTTCTTGAACTTCACATAAATGCAATCGTATAGCGTATGCTCTTTTGTGTCTTCTTTTACTCAACATTATCTGGGAGGATTTATCCGTGTTTTTTGTGTGGAGCAGTCGTTCCTTCCTATTACCGTGTAGTATGCTGAGTATGAATATCCCACAATCTACTCATTCATTCGGACGTTTGCAGCCCCCCACCCCCACTCAAGACTTCCCCCCGCATCTCACTGACTGGAACTGCCTCCCAGGCCCATTCCTAAACCCATCACTGGCCAGGGAAGGGGTACATTTTCCCCACAAGCCTACAAAGTTGCTCCCCTGCGGGCCTTTCCCTGAACACACTGGGGATGTTTATAGGGCATTTGCTCATGCTGTTCCCTCACTTGAAATGCCCTTCCCGATTTTTCTATCTGGAAAAGACCTGTTTCAAAGTCACCTCCAAAAGCCCTCTTCTACCCGCAGGCTGGGTGGGGTCTCTTCTGGGTGCCTCCGGCCTCTGAGATCCCACAGTGTCTGGGACCCCACCTGTTTTTGTGGCCTCAGTGGGGGCAGGGCCAGTCAGTCCTTGATCAGCTTCCCCAGTACCCGGGCCAGACTGATGGGAAAAGCTGTGGGGGGCGAGGCTGGCTCACTCGTCATCCCATCTTGGCCACAGCCCTGCAGATCGGACCGCCCGCGCTGGGCTTGCCGTCGCTCACGAGCAGGACCAGGGTTCAGCAGAGCACAACCGGCCAGCTGGGGGATGAGGCCTCCAGCCTGGTGGGCCTGGGGTGGCCACGTCCACCAGGGTGGACGTGACCTCTGGGCACAGCCTCAATATAGGACTGGGGCCGAAAGGCACCCATTTGACGGGGAAGCAAACGAAGGCTTAGAGAGGGGGCGTGGCTTGCCCAAGGTCATCAGGGGCAGAGCCTCAGCTCCTGTCCTTCCTCCGAGGCCTGGGCCTAGGGCCCACTTCAAGCCTTCTCAGACTTGGAGACGACATGAATCACTGGGGGATCTGGACTTGTACTTCTAACCAGCTCCCTGGTGACCCTGCTGCGGCTGCTGGTCGGCAAACCCCACGTGGTGCTGCAAAGCTTTAACCGGCCGGCCGGACTAGATTCTGGCCTCCCTTTCCCTTCAGGAAGGGTGCAGTGCTGGGGGGGGCGTGGGTGGTGAGGCCCCAACCTCCGCAACCCGCCCTGCCCCCGCCATCCTGGACACCAGAGCTGCGGGAACATTTTATTAAGTTAAGAAGGCTCATGGAGCAGGAGAGGAGCCTTCATGGCGCGGCTCCAGCGTTTCCACGTCCAGCACCCCCTCGGAGGAGGAGGAGGTGAGGCCTTAGGGACAGCTGCCGGCTCCCTCTGTCCGTCTGTCCCTCTGTCCAGAGTCCCAAGGTGTGGTCGCCTCAGGGCAAGAAGTAGTTAGTGGGAGGTAGGGAAGGAAGAGGGTGGCTGGCTCCCCGCCTCTCCCACCAGAGTCCACCCTGCCCCGGCCGCTGCTGGGCCTCTGCTAGACCCCTGGGGCAGGGCCACAGGCCCAGAAGCCTGAGCAGGGGGCTAGGGCCAGAGGGGGAGCCCGTGATGGAGGCACATGGCCACCAGGAATTGCTTTCTTCAAAGTATAAAGTGTTTTTGGGGAAAAAAAAAAAAGGGGGGGGGGGAGAAAATCTATATAAAAATCTCTTCACATATAAAATCCTGAAGAAGGTGCAAGGTAAGACCCAGTGCGAGGGGCGCGCTCAGATACGCAGAGAGTGTGTGTGTGTGCATACGTGTGTGTGTGTGCGTGTGTGTGTGCGTGTGTGTCTGTGTGTGGTGGGTATGAGTGCACGTGCGGCCCACAGAGGGTGGGGAGAAAGCTTGGCTTCTGACTTCCATCCAGCAGGAAGGAGGGCGACTGACTGGCCCCCTCAGGCCGGGGGACGGTCTGCCGCGGGGCTGGGCCACCAGGACCTGGAAGACAAGAGTCGGGGAGCTGCGCGCTTAGGCCAGGCAAGGGTGGCCCGGAAGGCTGGGCCAGACCTGCGCCTGCTCCTCCGGGCTTCTCCCCACATAGCCTGGCCCCCAGGGTGGCCTCTCCCGACTGCCTCAGGCAGTCCCCAAGGATCGGTCCGAAAGCAGCAGCCCCCGGCGGATGGGGCGTTAGGAGAGGCAGCATCGGAACGCTCTGAAGCCTGGGAAATCAAAGACTAAGTCAGGGGGCCAAGCTCCACCCGGGATGTCAGAGGCGTGGAACTCGGGGGAAGGAATGCTGTCACTGATCAGTGACCCGCGCCATGCCGCCAGCTTGGAAGGTGGGGCAGGCACGCTGGACCTGCAAGGGCACGGGGGGTCCTGACGAGGGGTGTGGGCTCATCAGCCTGCGGGTGGGGCGCGGCGTTAAGTGCCTGCTGTCACAGGGGGGCACGTGGCAATCATCGGGCCCTGAACTGCGCCCCCCCACCTCTGAAGACACACGCTCAGGTTTACAAAGCAGCCTCTGGCTGAGTCTGACCCACTGACAGCCCCCCACCCCATGTGGCTAGTGTCGCTGTCCCCGTTTACAGAAAGGGAAACAGAAGCCATGAGAAGGGAGCGTCCCGGGTGAGGTGGCACCGTGAGTCGGGTGTGGGCGAGCCTTGAGCTCACCTCCCCAGGCCCAGTGCCCCACCAGGCCTCAGCCCTGCTCGGCCCTGCCCACCCCGTGGCTCTCACCTCTACTCGGCCAGGCTGTTGCGCATGGCTTCCTTCTCCTGCAGGGCAGCCACGGCGAGACGCAGGTGCTCCTTCAGCTGCTCGATCTCCCGCTCCGACCGGGTCTTGATGTGGTTCAGCTCCACATACACATCCTGATACTTCCCCGAGGTGAAGCGCTTGTCCTGGGAGGGCGCAGGAGAGCCGTGAGGGCATGGAGGCCCCCTTCCTGGCCCTGCCGACCCGGCCCATGCCCATCATGCTCCCTGCCGGCCGGCACAAAGCCACCAGGCCCCTCCATGGCCTAGTGGCCTGTCCTTCCCGGTGGCCCCTCGGCATCCCCGGGCCTAGGTGCACCCTCCCAGCATGGCCCAGTGATGGCTTCCAGCATCGTTTTCGTCCCTCGAGACAGGAGCTGAGGCTCAGGGAGGGGAAGCTTTTGTCTAAGACCACTTGGCAGTGAGTGGCCAGGGCACGAACCAGGTCAGCCTGGCCCGGGGCTGGGGCCCCTTCTGTGAGTCTGACTCACACATCTTCACGGAGCCACCAACACACGGGGGTGCCAAACACACAGGGACATGGCACGGGGCAGGCCGCAGACTCACAACCCTGGGCCCAAATCCTGGCCCTCCCCACCGCCGGCCACATGGCTCACTCCTCATTGGAACGCGGGCGCCCCTTCACGGGGCCTCAGGCCTTTTTTGTTCACAGCTGTCTTCCCAGCACCGAGCACAGTGCCCAGCATACAGCAGGTGCTCAATAAGTATTTGCTGACTAAATAAAGCAAGTGTGGCCGTGGGCAAGTCACTCACCCTCTCTTAGCCTCAGTGTCTTTGTCTGTAAATAGGGACAAGGACACCTACGAGGGAGAGATGCGAGGAGAGCCATGAACGAGGAGGTGAGGAGGGTGGCTGGCACAGAGCGGGTGCTCATGGGATGGGGCACTGAGGCGCGTCCAGAGGCTCCCTGCCCACAAGCTCCGAGTCAGACCCTACCTTCTGCAGCATCTGCAGCTCATCCCGGAGACACTGCACCTCCTTCTTCAGGTACTGGAGCTCATTCTCCTTCACTCGAAGCAACACCTAGGGTCACGGGTGCCGGGCTGACCCAGGGCCACAGCACCGTGCAGGCCGGCTTCTCTCTGCTTCAGGCCCCCGGACTGTAACTCCCAACCTGCACCGAGACCCACCACACCCCAGGGCCAGGCTCCTCCAGGAAGCCCTGGTTTCTTCTGGCTCTCTCACCTCTGTCCACACAGTGAGTGGGTGTCTCATGACCACCTCTGCTGTTGTCCCAACACAGCACCCGGCCCTCAACATGAGGGCAAAGAGGGTGACCTCCAGGGAGCCAGAGAGTGCGGGCCTCCCTACGAAATACCTCATGAACCCCTCCCCAAAGTCTGAGCTGCAGGGCTTGCTATTCTGACTTGACCAAATCAGAGATAGGTTCGGCCAGGACTGGGAGGCTTAAAAGCTTCGACTCTGGAGCCAGACTGCCAGGTTCAAACCCCAACTCCTGCGCTGACTAGCCGTGAGACCTCAGGCAAGGTACCTGACCTCCCTGCGTCTCAGTGTCCTCATCTGTAAACAGGGACAGTAAACAGTATCTACCTCGTAGGATTGTCACGAGGATTCAACGAGTTAACTTACAGACATTCCAGACACAGAGTAAAGCCATATACAAATTTTCATAAAATAAAATCAAGTAAAATAGAATAAAATAAAATACTAGGGGATCGGGGATCACACACATTTTCTCACTCCAACTTTCCCCAGTAAGGGGGATGCTAGCCTCCTTTTACCAAGGAGCTCCTGGGGCTCAGAATGGCGGGGTGACTTGCCAAGGTCACCCAGCAGCTAGGTGGTAGGCCCCTGATGGGAGGGCTGGTCTCTGGTGGTAGGGCTTTGTCCCAGGTGCCCATCCCAGCTGCGCTGGCTTCTCCCCCTCTGGGGCCCGGCCCCACCGAGCGGTGCCATTCCCTGCCGCAGGGCACACCCAGCCCGTCGGGGTGCAGAGCAGCAGCCAGGCTGCCTGGCACCGGGGTGGGGGGGTTGGGGGGGTGGGCGCTCACCTCCAGCTCACAGGAGCTCCGCTGGCTGCCGCGCCCACAGCCGTCACCCATGCCCTGCGAGGCAATGAAGCCACGCAGCCGGTCGATCTCCTCTGACAGGCGGGTGTGCAACTCCTGGGAGGCCCGGGACGGTCAGCGCGCAGACGAAGGACCGCTGCGCCCGGGGCCCCCGCCCCCGCCCCGGGCCGGGCTCACCTGGTTGTGGCGCAGCAGCTCCTGGCCCTCCTGCTGGCAGCGGCGCAGCGTGTGTTCCCGCTCCTCGGCCTGCCGCGTCAGGGCGCCGATCTCCAGGCACTTCTGCGAGTACTGCTCGGACAGCACCTGCAGCTCCCGCTTCAGCGCCGCCACGTCTGACCTGTCCGGGGTAGGGGCGGGCAGGGATGGCAGGGGGCTCAGCTCGGGGGAGGCTCAAAGCAGCTCAGGACTCCAGGTTCCTGCTCTGGTTCTGCCTTCAGCCCACTGGGGGGGCTGTGAACTGGTGACAGCCTCTTAGGGCTGCCGCTGACGCCTCGATGAGGTGGGGGTTAAGCCTCCAAGGCCTCTAGAGCCCGAACGGTCCAGAGCTGTCCTCTGCGGTGGGGACACCTACTGGCCAAGGGTGGTACTGCAGCCCAGCTCTAGGGGACACGAACCAGGGGCCGCAGAGGCTGAGACCAGCTGGACAAGAAGGGGCCTAAAGGACTATCTATGTGGACTGGCATGGGGGTCTGGCTGAGGGCCCCCTGCCTCTGTCCCCTGTGCCCGGTGACTGGGTCGGGAGTCTCAGCTGGGGGCAAAGTGTTGTATCCTCTGCCAAGGGACCTCAGCACAGGTTCCTGCCTCATGAACACCAGGGTGGGCAGCCCCTCGCTCAGAATGAGGCCCAGCCCACAGACCCCAGAGTCCAGGTGCCATCTTACTGGTGCTGCTTGCGAAGGCCATCGGGGCCCTGTGGGAGACTCCGTGTCTTGCTCAGTTCCCGGCTCAGCTCCTCCTGGTAGGCCTTCTTCATGGCTTCGATGGCTAGAAGCAGGGCAGAGGCAATGAGGGGAGCTTGGGGAGGGGTCAGCAGCAGTAGGCTCCACCTCCCCCAAGACCCCACATGCACCACGCAGACAGAAGCTAAGAGCACTGGACCAGGCTGTCTCAGGAACTGCATGGCTTTGGGGAAGTTGCTCGACCTCTCTGAGCCTATCAAGGGAGGATACCAATCCGTCTGCTGGGGTGGGACAGTGCTGGGCAGACACCTCAGGACCTGACCTCTTGTCAGTGACATCCAGGTGGGACCCCACACAGCCCACCACCCCTGCAGAGCCTGGACGGTTCCTTCACAAGGCCAAGCTCCCTGGCCCAGCCCGCTGATCGTACCCAGTGCAGGGACTGCAGCTGGTACAAATCTGTGCGACTTTTCACAGGGGAGTTAACCCCTCTGTGCCTCGGGTCCCTTGTTGGAAAGCGGGGAGAACAACAGCACCTTCTCTTGCGGGTTATTGGAAGACCTGTGTAGAGCATTTGGAGCAATGCCTGGCCCAGAGTAGATGTGCAGAGAGATTCCGCTGGCTTATCTTCCACACTGTGAGCAACCAAGGACCAAGTGTTTTCACACTCACACAGGGTGGTTGGGAGGATTAAACAAGCCGTCGTCCATAATCTTATCCATAATTCTAAAATCCAAAGGCTCAGAACACTGGAAGCTTTTCATAACTTTCGGTGGCAATCCCTGACCTGAACAGATGCAAGGCTATCTGTGGTCAGTCGTAGCCCACTTAAGCGTAACTCTGAGAAGTTTCACCGTGAAAGTCTCAGTGCTATATTTCAGGGAAGGGCCCAGACTCTGCTGGGAAGGGTATCTAATAGGTGTACTAGGTTATCTTCCTAAAATGCAGGACACACCGGCTCCAGGGTTTGGGATGAGGGGCCGTAGGCTTGCGTGCGTGAAGCATGTGACACAGCGCTGGCAGGTGGGAAGTTCTAGATCAAGTGACTTCTCTCATCATTCCTATGATTCTGTAAACCCCATGGGAGTGCTTAGGATGTGCCAGGCCCACACGGGAGCTGCGCAGGGAACACAGGGAGGGAGGGAGATGTCGAACATCTCGGGCGTTCCTGTTTCTGGCTTGGGTGAGCAGAGGGTGGGCTTCAGGGACCGACTCTGCAGTCAGGGTGCTCTGAGCTCCAACTCCGGCTCTGTCATCTCCAAGCTGTGCCGTCTGGGACAAGTCACTAACCTCTCTGAGTCCCAGTTCCTCATCTATGAAATGGGGTCCCTCCATCGGGCACTGCAAAGAGCTAAGGGTGCTTGTGTGGGGAACGGGGCTTAGCGACAGCTCACAGCTTTGCTCCGGCCCTCCCCAGGGTCTGGCCCTTCCCCCCACCAACCCCCGGTCCGCAGCTGAGCAGTCTCTACCCAGCAAACGGTGCACACGTGGGCATGGAGTTGGAGCTCAGTGCTTGCGTGTGTGCATGTGTGCGTGCGTGCGCCTTGGGGTGAGATCCCCAGTGGCTGCAGGCCCCTGAGGGAGAGGAGTCACAACCCAGGAGGACATGGGGGTTGGGGGGGGCTTTTATTGCCTCGGTTTCCCCTTCTCATGTAGGAAGAGGCCAGTTCTGGGGACTCCACCCCCTCCTAGACCCCTTTCCCAAGTTTGGCACTGAGACCACCCCCTTATTTAAAGTCCTCCCCGATTTCAGCGAGGAGCTGCAGCGAGAGGCTCGTGGGGCCCGGGGTCCTCACCTGAGGCCGTGGCCGCCGTCTCCTCGGCCAGGAGCCACTCCTTCTCCTGCTGCAGCCGCTGCAGCTCGCGCTCGTGGTGCCTCTGCAACCCCTCCATCACCTGCTGGTGTGAGGACTCCATCTCGGCCAGGCTGCGCTCGCACGCTTCCTGCGGGTGGGAGGCCAGCTTCGTCCCGGGGCTGCCCCCGCTGCCCGGACGGTGGCCCTTCTCCAGCCCCAGGCGGTGAGCCTCAGGGGCAGGCCCGTCCCGGGCCGGCCGTCTCCACCTCTCCTCCCTGGGGCCCCGTACCACCGACCACACCTGCCCCTGCTTCCCCGGTCCACAGACCTCACCCTGTCACTCTCCTGCTCCCAACCCTTCGGAGGCTCCTATCCAGTGGGGTCAAGTCCCTGCTCCTGTGTCTGACCCTCGTGGCCTCAGGCTGGGCCTTTCCCCACCAAGGAACTCCAGTTAGGAGAAATAATTCATGGCATGGTCACAGCTCTGAGCTGTAGCTAAGGCTAAGCCCTCTGCCTGGAACGTTCTTCTGCAACTTTCTCTTCCAGGGTAACGAACTTGGCCTGCAGTCCAGCTTAATGTCCTCCCCGCTCTATCTCTGGACAGCCTCTCCCCTGCCTCCGAAGGCTCTGGCTCTGCCAGACTGTAAGTTCTCCAAAGAGAGGGAAGACCTGATCCAGCTCGGAGCCCCCCAGGGTCCGGACCAGAGCCTAACATCTGTCAGGTGCTGAGAAAGTGAGCTGAAATTGATGACATCACAAAATAGGGCCTGTAGGCAAGACTGGCAAGTGTTTCAAAGACTGATAATAGTCGTGCTTGGGAGAGTCAGTTGCGACAGGTGCATGGGGGGGCAGCTGGGCGTTGTCATCACATTTTTAGTAACCCCCCCCCGTTGACCCCACAGAAAGTCACATGTGTACAAAGACTCTGGGACAGGGGTATTCCCTACAGTAAGGTTGGTAAGAGATGAAAACCGGAAACAACACCTAACAGGGGAGCCCTTAAATGATGGGATCAAGCCTTACAAAGGCCCCCAGGCAGCTGGTGAAGAACAGAGCTGCCCACGTGGACTGCCCTGGAAAGGTGTCCCAAAAGTTAGGTGACGCAAGCTGGTCTCTGACAACATGTATGGTGCGATCCCACTCACGGAAACAACACAGAGCCACGCATCCGAGTCCACGCATGTCAAACACAGCGAAGGGCATGGGAAGATGCAGTGGGGGGCAGAGGAGGGGCGCCCAGAGATGCCCACGTCATACTCCCTAGAACCTCTGAATATGTTACCTTACGTGGCAGAGGGGCATTGAGGTTGCTAATCAGCTGACCCTAAAATAGGGAGACTATCCTGAATTATCCCCTGGACGCAATGGAGTCACAGGGTCCTCAGATGCGGAAGCGGAGGCAGGAGCGCAGAGAGGGAGAAGTGGCCACAGAAGGTCAGTGATAGGGGCGCCTGGGTGGCTCAGTCGTTAAGCGTCTGCCTTCAGCTCAGGTCATGATCCCAGGGTCCTGGGATCGAGCCCCACATCGGGCTCCC